CTACTTCCCATGGGCAGGCAGGTGTTCAGCCATCTCCAGGAAAGCAGGGCTCCATCACGCGTAACGGTGACTTGGGAAGAAGAAACACCGTAACTTCGAACGTCCCCCCCTTCCTTCTTCTTCCTACAGCCTTATATGCTGAGCATGATGTCATATGGTGTGGAGTACCCCTGTGGTCAGTTGGGGTCAGCTGTGCCCCCTCCCAGCTTCTTGTGCACCCCCAGCCTACGGGCTGGTGGGGTGGGGTGAGAAGCAGAAAAGGCCTTGACTCTATGTCAGCACTGCTCAGCAGTAACGAAAACATCCCTGTGTTACCAATACTGTTTTCATCACAAATCCAACACACAGCCCCATACTAGCTACTATGAAGAAAATTAACTCTATCCCAGCCAAAACCAGCACACATCTATGTCTTCAGTCATGTGCCTACAAGTGTCCATGCTTGCAACAGTGGCCAAGGAAAAGGCTGAATTCTCTTAGTTCTGAATTATTTGCCAAGCTGTACATCAGATAGAGAGCGAAATGTTGATAACCACCTCCCTCCGCCATCCTCTCCTCTGCAGCCAAAATATTAACTGTTGTGGAGCGCCACGGTCTCAGCAGTTTTCAGACAGTTCCACTGCCTTTATGTCTCACGGAGAGCCTGAAGCTCCCAGGCCAGCATACAGTGAACATCCAGCAGCGCTCCACCTACACTGCTGCCTGCTTCCTAAAGATGGAGAAGTTTAGGAGTAACAGGAGCGATTCCGGATGATTTACTAATGAACAGAGGTATGACAGGAATGTTGCCTACATTTTATGAAAAGGAATTTCTATCTAAGAAATTAAGGAAAGGAGAGTCCTTTCTTCCCAAATTACATTTTGCAGGACAGAAAATGCAAATGAGCAAAGCAGGTCTTTTGGTTAACAAACTGATTTAAAATTTCTCATTCCTGATTCGTTTGCAGTCTCCCTTTCTGTGCAAATCTTAATGTTACTGCACCTTGAGGTTCAATTTTGTTCAGTTTCAAAGAGAAAATGAGTTTCTATCTTGCAACACTTTATGAGGATGCCAAAGACAATACTTGTATGTATTTCATCAGTCTTAATCTTATCTTCTCCAGAATTTCTAGTAATGTCTGCGAAAACTTTGTAGAATTGCCCCCTTCATCTGCTGAAGAAACGCAAGACCAAGAGTAGAAGCAATCGTTCCAGATCCCTCAAAGACATCTTGATTATCAAATATCCTATTAGATATACTGGGTCAAATTTAGTCCCGCTGTAAACTAATGCAAGGGTGTTTAGAGAAGTCTGGCTTACATCTACTGAGTATCTATCCGGCTCTGTTTGCTTAGATAAGTGATCTCACACAAAATATTATTCATTTAAGGGATTTCTTTAAGAAATCAGCCAATTGTCTTTCACATGGGGTTCATAGGTTTAACTCCAAATCTACTGAACTTAAAACACCTTCTCCTGTTTCTGTGGGCTATACAAGAGGATCCTTATGGACACTGTGACTGTCGTTTGTCACAGTTTTCATCTGCTTGTTTCTTGCAGGTTTTTAACTTGGACAAACCTAAATTTCCACGAGGAACTCATCTACCACCTTGCTGAGGCAAGAGTCAAAACAACAAAACAATTTGATTAAAATGGCATAGTTTAGGATCTAGAGAAACATGGGTTTAAATTTTGATCTGCCACAGGCTCCCAGTATGACACTGGATAAGTCACTCAGGGTTTATTGCACCGAATTCTTGCTATCTCACTGGAAGTCCCTATGATAGGAGCACAGCCTAAATCAGGAAGCTGTGTTGCCTTGAGGGCCAGTGAAGGCAACTGGGAGCCTGAATAAATTACCCTTCTGTGTTGCTCATATTTCTCCATGGACTATGCAGAAAGTTTAGTCTGCTAGCTTAGGCACTTCTGCTAGGTGCCTCAAGGGACCTATGAAAAGTCCAGGCTTTGACCTTTACGTGGGGTTGTTCCAAATGTGAAAAGAGATACTTAGCATTTGGTCCACACAGTAGCACTGTGAAGATAAGTATTAAATATAGTGAAGTAATGAGATCCATTCTTCTATTCCAGATAGAGAAGTGGATGGCTACTGGTAGACTTGAGAAGAAAATCTGAAGGTTGGTTTGAATGCTGACACAGAAGTTGGCCTGCGTCTTTTAAACTCGCACAGGATCGCCTCATGTTTCAGAATATTTATGAGCCTCTAGAATAATGGCATAACAGTATTTTGTAGCCAAGATGATTGAAGGTCAGAAGAGAGAATATTACCTCTTCCTACAAGCCTGAGACTGAAGCCTGAGATTAAATCAAAAAGTCTAGATTTGGGATGATTTTTGGAATTCAGTGTGAGCATTTGCAAAATGTTCATGTTTACATTTCTCCTTGCCTCTTGTCGTTATCTTCCATCATGAAATGCAGGTTTTAGAGCGCAACTACAACCTTGCTGCACTCTCTGTGCCGTTATGAGCCTTTGATCACTTTAATCACTGTACTTAAGAGTAGCTTGATCTATTTTTTCAACTAATTTGACATTCTACAAGGTAAGAAAGTAATTAGTGATGTCTGCTCTACTGAAATAATGTGGTATTTCACTTGTTCCTCCATGAGCTTTACAGTTTGGCTGCAGCCATTGTTAGATAGGAAAAAATGCTTCCTTCTTCTTAAAGAATGAGGAGCAAAAGACAACTTTGGGTGACCTGATTATGCAGCTTGCTCACGTTTTGGCTTAGCTCTGTCTCGAATGCGATGCAAGCAATGAGTTTTAGCTTTCCTTTGCCCTGGTAGGTCTGGTTGCTGGAGTAGCCAGTGCTGGTTACCTACCCGTGTCTCTCTCTCGTGTATGTTTGCTGACTCTGTGCTCTTCATTTGGCAATAGGATCAGGTACACAGCTAAAAACTAGGTTTTCTTGTTTGGGTCATGGTTTTGTGCCCCTAGGATGTTTCAAGCAGGGGGTTCTGCTGCTTTTACTGCCTGATCTTATCTGAGTCACTTAGGAGGTACCAGCTATCTGAGTATTATCTAATTGCTCAACTTGTGTGTGTTTGTGCATGCTTTCATAAAAGATAGGAATTGCATCGGAGGGGTAATGCTTTCACCTTCCCAAGGAGACTCTCTAGCTGTGTGACCTGACAGTGTTACACTGCTTGTTGCAGAATGACACTGGTCTGCTGCCTCTTGAGCAGTGAGTCTGACCTTTGCTTAGCCAACCACCTGCTTTCTCTGGTCTCTCTCTCTGACCTACAGACACAAAGGAAAAGGAGTGGCTGGCAAAACTTCAAAAACCTAGAAACATTTAAGCCTGCATTTGCTGAGGTGCCTGGGATCCCGGCCTCCCCTAGGAGGTGGTGGTTAAATCAGAGCTATCCAGTGCGTTCACCAGGAGGAGATGCTTTTGCAGGCAGCTGGGCAGCCTATTTCCTCTGCAAGCCAGGCACGACGCACTGCCAGAGGAGGGCTGGATGGCCTGCCCTCCGCAGCGATGGAGGCTGCTTCAGAAGCTCCTTTCCAGGTTTTGATGATCAGCACACTTTCCAGTGCCAGTGCACTGAAGCCTGGTGCAGGACTGCAGTGTTGGTGAAGCATTTATGATCCCTCCCGCAAGTGCCCTCTCACCCTTATCTTTTGCAAAGGTCCAGGTAGTCCATCCCTGCCCCTCAGCCCGCAGTTGCACTACTGTGAAATGAGATGCCATTAGGTCAGTGCTGTACCACAGAGCAGTCCCCTGCGTTGCTTCGTGCTTCTAAGTGTAATGGTGGGAAGGATTTGAATGTCTTGCAGTTTCCCTTTCCCTGGGTTGCTCAGCAGGGTGTGAGCTGCCGTGTGTCACTGTCCCTTAGAAACTGGCGAGTGGCCAGGTTTCACTGGGTAGATTTGGCTGGGCTCAGAGCAGCAAAGCAGGAGGCGGGGGATCCTTAGCTCATCAGGATAGCCTGGCCACTGTTCCTCTGCTCTCCCCGGTTTCCTTCCCTCCAAGGAGGTGGGCTGGTACAGCTGAGAAAGCAAAGAGGCGAGAGGATTCAGGTCCATCTCAAGACACCTCAGGTCTGTCTGAGGGTAGGGCAAATGTATGCCACTTCCCTAAACATCAAAACTTTAGATTCTTTTTGGAAGTGGAATAGCTGCTCCTGCTCATATAAATCCTGCATCCCTCCTAGCAGGTGAAAAGAGTCTCATGTGTAGCACACACAGCTTTTAGGAGGATCACAGGGCTTTTTTAAAGCACTGCATCTATATTACAGTAGCATGCAGAGCTCCCAATGAGTTTCCCAGGTCTCGCTGTGCAGACGCCAGCCTGCAGCCAAACCCAGCCCCAGAGCGGTCAGTGAAGGCGCCAAGTCTTCCAGCTGCTCTCACCAGCCAGGGAGTGACACCTCCGATGCTCCTGCAATCAGCTGATGCCAGTAGGGATTGAGTGGGTGCCCAGAGCTGCTCACACCACTACGACCTGCACTCCCTCACTACTTAGCTTGTATAGTAAGGAACAAAACGAGGGTTACCTGTTGTTGCTGCACGGGGTATATCAAAGTCCTGGACTCTAGCAGTCATGGGATGATCTGCTGATTATACCACAAATTTTGTTGTAAATGAATGGCTCAACAAGCCCCTGATCCCCAAGTAATAGGATTTCTTCCACCAGCATATCTTAAGCAAAACTATTAGCCTGTCCATTAGAAGGACTGGAGACAGACACAGGCTGCGTGTGGCTGGACAGTTGTTAGAACAGCAGTGTGGGATTCTTCTAATTCAAGAGCTGCTAAGATACTTGATCCTGTACTACAGAAACCACATACTTCAAAGGCAACAGGATCTAGGCCATAAGTAAGTGAAGATGGGGAAAAATCAATCCACCTTATCAAATAAATGCGTGGCTGGAAGCATGTGTCTAAGACAGTGACGTATTTTTTTAATGCATAAAAATTAACAGTCTGGCAAGAGTCTGCATTTCTTTGTTATAATGAAATCCTGGGGAGCCTCTGTGCTTTACATTATCAGAGAGTCCAGGCCCTGAGCTGGTGCCTGCGGTGCCCTCAGGAGCCCTCGCTGCAGCCGTGTGCTGGGCTCTTTGTTACGGCCTCCTCGCAGCCCTCTGCTCTGCCTCCCTTTACTCTTACGAATAGAGAGCCAGGCTTCAGCGAGGGCCACATCCACAGCACCCCCATGCCCAATCCCCAAATATCTTAAATGTTACACAAAGAGTACAGTGGGTTTTTTTACAGAGAGAAGACTTTGCCTTTGCTGGCTTCTTGCTGCAATAAATTGGCAGATGATGCTCTAATGAGAACAATAACGCACCCACTCTACCGCCTTCGATCACTTATGTGCTCTTTTGCAGCTTGTGAAAGGCTCTAAAAGCTTTCACCAGACAGGTTGTCTGATTTTTAGGGAGTGTCACTGGTGCTGTTTACCCTAGACAGGCAGAAGCCTGTTTTTACAGTGTGCGGTTGCTGGGACAATTAATGTCAGGCTAAGTGACCAATATCTAGTTTGACCCAAGAAGTGCCTGATTCCAGCCATTTGCCAGCAATTTCAGCAGTGGAGGCTGCCACAAACCAGCATATCCAAACCGAGTGCTTCAATAAACTGCTTAATGGGTGGCATGCTGGGGTGCAATCAATTGGCATCAAATGTGCTGTGCCATTTCGCACCAGCTGATGGTCAGCAATAGCGATTGTGTTTATATTGGTACCAGCTGTATTCTCGTGACAAAGTGATCTGTGTTCTCGAGCCTTTTCCTCTATTCAGAGATATGCATGCAAGAGACAGAGTTGCGTTTCAATTCACACAATTGTTTCCACTTGTTCAGTTCTCTAGCTACAATCTCATGACCACCTTTACTCTTTGTTAAAAAAGTTATTTGGCAGCTCAGATGAACTCCCGTGGGGGGTTATCACCAGGTTGTGATTAAAATTACCCACCAAACAGCTGTTTCTTTGGAAGAAATGTATCGTTTCATTAATCTGTAAACCCACAGCAATTAAAATTGGGTTTTGAAACAACAAAAAAAAGCTGTGTGCATCCCATCTCACCGTTTGCCTTGCCATTTCCCATGTGTGCTGCTTGTCTCAGTCACCTCTTCCTGCAGCATCTCAGTCTGAGTGACTGCATTGACAGGTGATCTTTTATGACTTTCAGCGTACCTTTGCCTACTTTAGGACCCAAATCTGGTCTCTACTTCTTTATGCATCTTTATCTGAAAGGGAAACGGCTCTATTTTAATTGCATATGAACGGGATGATAATAAAATGTTAATTGCTTTTTCTGCCCATGCACTGATCTATATCTAGCAGAATTTGCCCTTGATAATCCCGTAACAGTGGCATAACTGCAAACAAATAAACACAGACATGCTGCTCACATTAGAAGAATCCAGGTATCTCTCCCGTTGTTCCCAGGCTGCTCGATGCTTTTTCATTTCAGCAGCTGCATGCAGCATCACTGATGTGGAACTGCTCAGCACATACGTTAATATCACATATCCACTATACTGGTCATCCCTACATGGAAGGTAATGTGGGATTTCTTTTGGAAGAAGGTGGTATCTTTATTTTGCAGGACTGAAATCTTCATTCTCATTGATTAAACCACCTAGAAATGGCCCACTCATCTACCTCAGAGGAATCCTAGGTTCACAATACCCTGTTAAAATGTAGAGCTCCTCAAACATGTATCTGTCATCCATAGCTTTCTATGTCCCGTAACATACCTACTGCTGTGATAACTGAGCACCTGTCAAGATACTATATTGCTAGCCATGGAAATGGAAGTCCTCTCAAATTTATCAACAGAGAAGCTTACATTGCTGCCTGGCAAGTTTCTCAGCTTTTGTGACTCAACCTTGACCTCTAAGGATCTACTTCTCGGGGCGAGAAAGCAGCAAATTCTCCTTGCAGATTTAATCACTGTTTCCTCTGCTGCAGGCTCTGACTGACAAGATGGTAGAGATATCTTTAGCTCAGACGAAATCATCTGAAAGCAGCCACTGCTACAAGACACAGACCACACACTTGTGCCGTAAGTTGCTTTGGCATCCTGGGTTCCCAAACAACACCCGCAGTGAAGTGGAAAACTGCCCACCACCTGAGGCCACCGGCTGGTCATCAAAGTCAGCAGGCCACCTTTCTGACACTAAGACTCTGGGCCATATTTGAACTGCTGGCCCAAGTGCAAGACACTCTTTATACCCTCGCTGTCCTTTGAGCTTCAGAAGGATGCTTACAGCCTTGCAAGAAAGTCATGTTACAGAGGCATCAAGTGATATTAGACTGCAACTAGAAACCACCAGAGTTGAGTGCTGAAAGATTCCCATCTCTTAACACTAAATCGTTCCATTATAACTTCCTGTAAAAGTAAGTGTGATTTGTCTCGTGCATTGATGTCTTTCTCAAGTAATGCTTTTCACAGAAGTTCAGGTTTAAGGCATCTCCCGTTCTTTTTCCAGGCATTCCCCATCTCCCAGAATGTGTCCCAGAGCTGGAGCCAATTCCGTTGCTGAGATGCTGCATTTCTCACCTTCTGATTGCAATTAGCCATTGCCAGCTGGGGCCTGGTGAGCTGCTGAAGAGCTAACAAGAAGCGGAGACCAGCATGAGGCCTCGGCAGCGCGTATGCTGGGAATGAACAAGAAATGCGGCGCTGTGTTCCTGAGGCGGCTCCACCACAAAACAAGGTTCCCATGTCCCCGCGTGTGTGTCAAAGTCTGCTTTTGGAGGCTCAGCTTGCTCCTCACGCTCTTACACATTGCCATCACGTTTGCCAGAAAGGAAATGTGGGGAAATAAAGGTTACTGTAGGTAAAAACAAACCCAACCGTGGTCTTGTTAAGAAATCCTCCCAGTCACCCCTATCCTCAGGCAGCATCAATCATCACAACGGAGAAGTTACCTCTGATTATGGTGGTTGCCACACTGGGGACACACCAGGTGAGCTCTGGAGGTGGGCAGAGCCAGCCTGTCCCCTGCCGGCTGCTGGGGTCCTGCTAAGCCTGCTGTGGGCTCAGAGGCATCCACATAGGCTCTGAAGCGTGGTTGCCAGTAGTCTTTACCTCGTTCTTCACCTATTTGTAAAGAAGCCTATAGTGATGCTGACTTATCTGCTAGGGCCAGGTAGGTTCTCATCTCAGATCTCCAAGGGAAACTCCCCAGAGGCTGTGAAGATAAGTCAGCCTCCCTCCACGTGCCCCAGGAAACCATCTCGGAATTCTCTCAGGTGTTCGTTAACTGCCACAGTTCAGAAGATGATGCAAGGCAGGCATGCACCAGGCCATTCCTGAAAATATCAGTGCATGCCTGTTTCAGAGGAAATTTTGTGAACAGTAATTATGACCCATAGTCTGTACTCACATAGCAATGGGAGGCAGTAGTTGCATCTACTTAGAAATTCATAACAACTCCCAAGCCAAGGCGTTAAGAATGCACACGCTATTAAGGTCTTTCCCAGGACATATGTCTCCTCCTTCTTATTCAATAAAAAAAAAGCAGTGAGAAGGTTTGTCCTTAAAACTAGAGAATAGAGCAAGGGTGAACCTCAGACTGAAAAGAACCCCCACCGCCCCAGGGACCTCGGTGGCCCGCCAATAGACCCCTCGCATCGCGCCAGCGCTGCGGCCCAAAAGATGCCAGGCCCTCTCCTCGCCTCTCCCTCGGGGCTCCATGCAGAGGAGATGGCACCTCTCTATGCTCCAGGGGCAGGGACAGGGGATGGGGAAGAGGGGCCCATGCAACACTTGGCAATCGGCAATTCTTTTATGGAGTGCAGGGAGACCTTGTGCAGGCCAGCTGGGTCTCCCTTTCCCGCTGGCTGGATGTCTGGATGCTTTGCCCCCTCGCAGCTGCTGTCAAGTGCAGGGGGCTGTGCCACTTGCAAGGAGCTGGGTTGGTGGGGGGTCACCAAGGACTTCTGACCCCCCCATTGTTGCCACCATCTCATCCAGGGGACCCCAGGCACAGGATGAGGAGGGGGCTGGAGCCCAGGACACATGAGAGGAATTGGAGGGCAGTCCCTGTGCCCAAGGGGCAGCAGAATGGCACAGGGGAGCGATCCCCAGTAAAGGGGCCCTCAGCCTCCCCAACCCTCCTCCTCCTCCCACTGAAAGAACCAGGGGATCTTTCAGGCCACAGGCCCCGCAACTTCCAGAATAGCCATCTTTGGCCACATGCATCACCATCACAGTGGCTTCCTGATGTCATGAGCCATCTCACTGCCATTTGTAGAGATGCCCTATAAATACAGTGACCCTGGCAGCTGGCCCACAATTCACTGAGCTTTGAGGCCCTCTCATGCCAAGAATGCTTGGAAGCAAGAGGTCCCAGATCAGCAAGGTGGGTGGCTGCCCACCTTTGAGTGGCAGAGAAGAGAGATGGTTGCAGGAGCTGCAGAGGAAGAGGAGGCAGTGTCAGAGGGGGGGCACCATCAGCCGCATGGGAGCGGAGGCCATCGTTCATGTGGCTGATGGTGTGGAGCCCATGGAGGTGGATCCACCCGAAGATCAAGAAGAACCAATGGAAGTGGATCCACCTCCAGAATGACGCCCCTGGCACCACTCCACTGTGCCAGGGCTCACCTCCATGACGCCACGGCAAGCGTTGCAGGAGCACCCAGCCAGCACCCCACCATCGGCCCAGCCTCCACGCCCTGGGAGTCCTAGCCTCCGCGCCTGGCCGTCCTGCAGGCTCACCCATTACATCTCCCAGCAATCAGCAATTATTTTGTTGATTGTC